GCTGCTCCAGAATCTAATAATGCCATCGTAGCAATAAACCCCTTTTCCCAAGCTAGAGAGATAGGAATCAGAAGCCTATGGTCTTTTTTATTATGCATAGAGGACAGTAATGAAACACCCAAGGCCCGTCCTCTAAGGGAACTTAGGTGCGAGCGTTTCCCGGACGATTAGGGCAACTAAGACGTAGGTGACCTCTCAGCCCGCAGTATAAACAGAGACCCTCCCTTCTCCTGTACTGTCTCTCAGCCTCAGATAAGCGAGTATTACCTATTTGCATAGGTTCTGGTGGAGTAGGATTATAGGAGTCAGGGTTCTGAAATGAGGGAGCGAGTCTTACAGGAAGTCTAGTAACTCTTTCCCGAGTGTTCTGCCTCTGTCTCATGCGTTCATCTATTCTGGAAATGAAGGATACTAAATCCTCTAAATTTTCCGGAAGTTCTCTTGTGGCAATTTCATCTAGAATTTCATCAGACAACCCATTCAAGAAAACATCCATAAAAGCTTGTTCGTTCCATTTCACTTCTGCTGCCAATGATCTAAACTCTAGAGCATATTCTACAAGGGTCCTATCTTGTTGTTTAAGGCGTAACAGGGATCTGGCCGCATTAATCTTCCTCCCTGGGGGGTCAAAGGTTCTTCTAAAAGCCGTGACAAACGCAGTGTAGTTGTAGACTAAAGGATTGTCATTCTCCCAAAGGGGATTGGCCCATCTAAGTGCTTTATCTATTAGCAGGGTTATGATAAAGCCTACCTTAGCCCTGTCAGTGGGGTAAGCCCGGGGTTGTAGTTCGAAATGTATACTTATCTGGTTTAAAAAACCACGACAAGCATCAGGCGAACCCCCATATCGTAATGGTGACGTGACATGGGAAGATGCGCCTACAGTGGCTACTTCCAAACCAGTACTTAGCGAGTGGCTAGCAGTGGAACGTATTTCTTCAGACTGGGTACTGGAGCGTGACAACAAAGTTTGTAATGCTAAAGCCATTTGGTCCATTCTATGGTCCATGGCCTCAAATCTGGGGTCAGGAGGACTAGCACCTGCAGGATCCATCATGGCCCTGTCGTAATGTCAGGAAACTGACAGGGATCCAATACGCAGAGTGCGCACAGAAGGAGGTACGTATACCGGACCTTAGAATGGCCGGACTAACGTAAGGACAAAGCAAGAATAGTCAAAAGGTAAGCCGAGGTCAAGGGAGCCGGAGGACAGGTAAGCGAGATACAAGCCGAGTCAAAGGAGAGGAGAGGACAACAGGACAAAAGACAAGCAAGGGTCAAAACCGGAAACACAAGATAAAGAACGCGCTGAGTGACTAGCAAGCTAGAACCACGACAGGGCAATGAGCAGTAGTAAAGGTTTCCTTTAAATACCCTGTACCTAAATAGAGACCACGCCCCCAAAAGGTCCGGAATAGCGGTTCCCGGCACTTTATGCAAATGCCGACGTCATGACGTCGACGCTAGCCGTCGTGTCATAAAAGGGGGAGAAGCTAGCGCGGCCGGCGCGAAAACGGCCGGAATATGCCGAAATGCTAGGGGAAGGGAGCCCCTAAGCAGAGAGGATGTCCTCCCTGGATACATCACCAACAGGTACCCTGACACATATAACACCATCAAACTCTATCTCACTGGCATTCAACACCACATGCTCATCTTACACCCAAATAACAACAGTTTCATGGCCTCTCACCAAATTAAGACCATACTCAGAGGTATTCAAAAATCAGAACCCACACATTTGGCCCAGAGGCTACCCATAGATAACCATATCTTCAAAGCTTTATCTAACCTACTCGACCTGAAACCGTTTGACACTAATACGAATTCTATCATCAAAACAGCAATATACATTGCTTTCTATGGATTTCTATGACCCAGAGAATTCACTACGACCTCCACGACCCAAACCACTCCATTCCTCCTCTATTCCCACTTGACAAAACATATGGATCATTACATCCTGTCTTTACCTCACTCCAAAACCAGCCAGCACATACCTGTAAACATTCCGTACTACCCCACGCACAACAGATGGTGTCCAGTAAAAGTTCTTGATGCCTACATACAGCACCATCACTTACTGCCCTCGCAACCGTTATTACAACTACAAGGTGCAGTACTCACCACTACAACCTTCATGACCTACGTCAGGTCCTTGCTCACACAACTGGGCCTCAACGCAAACAATTACTCAGGACACTCCTTTCGTATAGGAGCCGCGTCCACAGCCTCCAGTTTCAACGTCCCAACTCATGTTATCAAAACACTGGGGCGCTGGAAGTCATCCGCTTACTCACGGTACATACCGAACCCAGTACAAGAGTTAAGAGATGCTTTCATAAACATGTCTGGTTGATAAATGTATATGTATTGGTGGTCTGTTAATAAATTGGATTACTTAATTTTTGCCCTCTTCTTTCTCAGGCCTACCTCATCGTCGGTTTCGGCACACCACAACCGACTTGCTCCTTTTATCATCCTACGCTTATTCATGGTATTTCACACTGTACTATCTTAAGCACCTAACACAAGTATTAAGGCAATTTGCCTGCATTTGTGGGAGGTGCTGGTTTTCTACCCCTAGCCTACTTAAGGCACTCCCCTTGCCTGGCTCCTTACCGTTTGAGGTCAGCGTTGAATGACCCTCCCACCACACCACTTTTAACATTTATTTTCCTTTCTATTTCTTTTCCTGGGTGGGCCCTCTTCTTTCTCAGGCCTACCTCATCGTCGGTTTCGGCACACCACAACCGAATTGCTCCTTTTATCATCCTACGCTTATTCATGGTATTTCACACTGTACTATCTTAAGCACCTAACACAAATATATATATATATATATATATATATGATAATTCTACGTATATATTTATGTAATAATTTTACACAATTAGGTCATTTTATTAATTACAATTTGCAGGACCTGCCTGACAACCCAGGCCGAAAGTTAAGTGAATTTAATTTTCTAGCACTATATTTAACCCTGTAACTTTCCAAGACACCATAAAACCTGTACATGGGGGGTACTCTTTTACTCGGAAGACTTCGCTGAACACAAATATTAGTGTTTCAAAACAGTAAAATGTATTACAATGACGATATCGTCATTGACAGTGAAATTTTTTGCATTTTTCACCCACAAATGGCACTTACATTGACAATATAATTGTTGTGATAAGTTTTACTGTTTTGAAATACTAATATTTGTGTTCAGCGAAATCTCCCGAGTATAACAGTACCCCTCATGTACAGGTTTTATGTTGTTTTCAAAAGTTACAGAGTCAAATATAAGGCTTGTGTTTCATTTTTTGTTAGGGACCAGGAACCAGACAGAGATAGAAATAGCTGCAAAAACACCTTTATTAATAAATAACAAATAAAGAAATAACCAAAAGCAAAGTCCAGGAGGCAAGCATCAGGAGAACGGAGAGCAGCGGAACCAGGAACAAGCAGGAAACACAGGAACAAGGAGACTTCTGGGGAACAGGAAATCACGCAAGCGAAAGGAGGTACTGGGATTTGCTGCTTAAAGGAACACTATAGTCACCTAAATTATTTTAGCTAAATAAAGCAGTTTTAATGTATAGATAATTCCCCTGCAATTTCACTGCTCAATTCACTGCCATTTAGGAGTTAAATCACTTTGTTTCTGTTTATGCAGCCCTAGCCACACCTCCCCTGGCTATGATTGACAGAGCCTGCATGAAAAAAAAAACTGGTTTCACTTTCAAACAGATGTAATTTACCTTAAATAATTGTATCTCAATCTCTAAATTGAACTTTAATCACATACAGGAGGCTCTTGCAGGGTCTAGCAAGCTATTAACATAGCAGGGGATAAGAAAATCTTAATTAAACAGAACTTGCAATAAAGAAAGCCTAAATAGGGCTCTCTTTACAGGAAGTGTTTATGGAAGGCTGTGCAAGTCACATGCAGGGAGGTGTGACTAGGGTTCATAAACAAAGGGATTTAACTCCTAAATGGCAGAGGATTGAGCAGTGAGGCTGCAGGGGCATGTTCTATACACCAAAACTGCTTCATTAAGCTAAAGTTGTTCAGGTGACTATAGTGTCCCTTTAAATAGGCTGCACTGATTAGCAGCAGGGCTGGTTACTACTATCAGGTGAGTAACCGTGGCAACATACTGAAGGAGCTGATCATTAATATCAGCTGAAAACTCAGCCACAGAAAAAGTAAGGGTTGCTGTTTAAAACAGCATAGAAACCCTGACAGTTTTTTCACATTAAAATTCGCCAGGTTGGTTATGTTGCCTTTGAGACCGTACGGTAGCCCAGGAATGAGAATTACCCCCATGATGGCATACCATTTGCAATAGTAGACAACCCAGGATATTGCAACTGGGGTATGTTCAGTCTTTTTAGTAGCCACTTAGTCACAAACACTGGCCAAAATTGGCGTTCAAATTTGTTTTTTGCATTTTCAAATATTAACACTAACTTTGGCCAGTGTTTGTGACCAAGTGGCTACTAAAAAAAGACTGGACATACCCCATTTGTAATACCTTGGGTTGTCTACTTTTGCAAATGATATGCCATCATGGGGGTAATTCTTATTCCTGGGCTACCGTACGGTCTCAAAGGCAACGTAACCAATCTGGGGAATTTCAATGTTAGAAAAACTGAAATATATAACATGCTATATTTGACCCTGTAACTTCCCAAAACACCATAAAACCTGTATGTAGGGTTTACTGTTTTACACGTGAGATATCGCTGAATACAAATATGTGTATTTTATTGCAGTAAAAGAAAACAGTATATATTTTTTAAAATTCTTTATTTTTGTAGTGCATAAGCTTAGTACAATCGCATGTGAGGTACCCCAAAGGTAATCCTCCAGCGCATTATAAAACATTTAAACATAGAGGTACAGGGTTGATCTTGCACATTTTTATAAGGTTGAGTTATGCGGTATACAGTATCAATTGTCATTACTTAGGCATATTAATAACATAAAATAAAATAAAATAACGTCGCTTAACTCTCTGCTCGTGGAATAAAATTAAGATGCTCTGTCTAGTGTAATGGTAACTATACCAGCAAACTAGTGTAGTTGATTCAGTTTTGTGAGTCGCTTAATAGAACCATGTTTTTAATAAGGTGGATTAAGATGCTATGGAGCGAATGTTTCCTTTACGATGTAACTGATTATGCGAGAGCAAGATTACCCAATGCTGACTACGATGCAAAGCAAAACATTGCCCTATTTTATGGGATATCAGAAACAAGGTAAATAGCAGATTATGCATACATTAGCCAACATAAGGCACAGTCATGTGAAGAGAATGTAGATTCAAACTTAAACATAAGTTTTCATGTGTCAGTTCAGGCTAGGCAAATTATGAGGTTAACGTTCATAAATATAACAGTAAAGGTAAGGTAAGCATGCAAGTCAGCTGGTGTAAAATGTAAAACAGGCTTATCAACAATCAAGGAACATAATACTCTTGTCTGACTGTAATAAATGAGTATGTGTCTAACTATGTGGACTCGCCAGGTATGTAAAGGCTAGTTAATACCATGATAGAAGTATACATGTATAGGCTGTGCAACAGAATAAAGTCAAGCTATTTATGGTTAGCCTGGGCGACATTTCTATGAGACTGTGGAGACATATGTGCACTTTGATGCTAGAGATGTAGTAATGGTATGCTGGGCAATTTGTGTATACATAGAAGGGACTAGCTTAATGCTGTATTCAGAGTCCTGTATGTGTGGATCACCCCACTCCCGCTCTCACCACGGTGGTCCCACTGTAAGACCAAAGTCCAGCTTTTTGCTGATGCCCCCTTGAAAGCCTAGCATATCTCATTGATATTACAATTATGGCATTTGAGCAGTGGACGTTTTTGTATATAGATGTAGAAATAAAACATGAATTAATATTGGTTGCTCATTACAGTTAAAGGACCACTCTAGGCACCCAGACCACTTCAGCTTAATGAAGTGGTCTGGGTGCCTGGTCCAGCTAGGATTAACCCATATAAATGGGTTAATCCATCCTCCAATTCCTCTAGTGGCTGTCTCATTGACAGCCGCTAGAGGCGCTTGCGTGATTCTCACTGTGAAAATCACAGCGAGAGCACGCAAGCGCCCATAGGAAAGCATTGCAAATGCTTTCCTATGCGACCGGCTGAATGCGCGCGCAGCTCTTGCCGCGCGTGCCCATTTAGCCGAATGGGAGGAACGGAGGAGGAGAGCTCCCCGCCCAGCGCTGGAAAAAGGTAAGTTTTTACCCCTTTCCTCTCCCCAGAGCCGGGCGGGAGGGGGTCCCTGAGGGTGGGGGCACCCTCAGGGCACTATAGTGCCAGGAAAACAAGTATGGCACAAGTATGTTTTCCTGGCACTATAGTGGTCCTTTAAAGTTACTAGCTTAATCTGTGCTAAATGGTCAGCTTGGCTAAATAATAAGAACATTAATATAAAGTGAAAAAATCAACGCTTATGAGTGCTAGGCTAGTTATATTAGTTATGCTAAAACAGTTGCAGTATTGTAATGCGCATTGCCGTGTGGCAATAGCTGGCCTGTGTGCGAGGTTTATACAGGGTGTGTTGCTCTTGTGTAGGCTATTTGAAAACTGTGCATTTTAATTGTTATGTTAAAACTTGCAAGTCACAATTTTTATGCAGTTATTGCCTGCAGATCGTTCAGCCCTTTTTAACCAGCATTATCACATTAACACTAGGACACATTTATACTTAAAACCTTATTGATAAAATAGTTAGTGCTGGGTAAAGCTTAAGCACTGCAACTATTGTTGATTGCATAAAGTATTAAGTGAAACAAGTAATGTAGTTACCGCTTATATAAGATAATGTCCGCTTGTATTAAACTTGAGACAACAGTAATACGTAAAAACAGGCATTATAAGCATGCTTAGTGAGAACTCCAGGTTACTAGGAGCCTTACTAGTCAGTGACCTGTGCACAGTCAGCCGATTCCCACGTCTGGAAACTGAAACCCTGGAAGTGGGGGTTCAAGAAGGCAGCGTAAGTCCCGAAAATGTAATAATTCTCCCTCCGGCCCCAGGCTGAATCCCTGGCCTGCAGTTGTCTGCCGCAGATCCGAGCCCGCCAGCGGTCTTTTTCTTTCTCCGATGAAGTGGGGCGGAATACCCAAGTGGTGTGTTGCCTCAGGCGGCGGCAGCGCCTCCGTCTACGCGGATGCCGCTTCAAGGTCGTGTTCCGCTTGGCTCTTGGCTTGGGCAGGCTTTTCATGGTAGATGGACGAGTAGGGGTTAAGGGGTTGCCCCAAGGCGGCTTTGTCTTCCCTCGGGACCCTCTGTCACCGCTCACGGTTCGCTGTTGGGGCTCAGTATGCTGCAGACGTGCCTCCAAGGAAGCCCAGAAGCGTGCAAAATGGCCCTCGAGCCGCTGTAGCACGCGATCAGCTGGGGTGGAGTGCGCAAGGCAAGGTAACGTAGGCCCGACTTCACAGGTGAGTAGCCATTTTGGGCTGTGATGCTGGGTGGCACGCTTGTTCGGCAATGCCGCTGGTTTCTTTGTGTCGGTCTGCATGCTTGTGAAGGGCGTGATATCCCCCCAGGCCCCTTGGGGGGGAGACAGGGCTGTCTAGCACATGTAGCTGGCTTGGCACTCCGTCCAACAGGAGAGCGGCCTCCTCTCCCGCCATGCAGCTCCCCTGGGTCTCGCCAAGGTAATCGTTAACGAGCAGATGCTGTGCTCTGTGCACTTGTTTCATGGCTCCCGGGTCGGGTAACATCTGCAGGTAGTCGCTTAGGTATGTCTAGGTGTGCAGCTGTCATATATGCCTGGTTACAGGATTATTAAGCTCGGAGCTCGTGCAAAGTGCGTCCAGCCGCCATGCCGCCCAGGCCCCGCCCCCCAAGAAAACAGTATTTTGACATTCACAGTTAGAATGTCACGTAGAAGAAAATTTAAAAAAATCGTATTTTCTCCCATTTTTTTTATATTTTATTTATATTAAATTATGTTCCATACCTAAATATTTGATGTTAAATGAAAGCCGTTTCCCCTGAATAAAATTATATATAATAAGGGTGGGTACATTTAATATGAAAGAGGTGAATTACGGTTGGACAGACATATAATCAAATGCCAGGTTTTGTTTTGATCACAACTTGTACATTTGGCTGCGGTCTTAAGGGGTTAATACATTATTCATTTTCCCTCCAGACTGAGAGACTAGCCTTCCTCCATAGCTGCCTACAGAGCTCTAACAGACGGTGTGGGCGGGGCTTACTGCAGGGCGGCACACTGACTGGGGCGGGGCACACTGGCTGGGGCGGAGTTTGGAGGTGGCCTGATCATAGACATAGAAAACAGACGCCGCATTCTGTGCTGAGCGGCGAGAAATGCGGCAGCCATCTTGAACCGGTTGCCGCTCTACTGAAGCTATTGAAGAACCCTTACAAAGTCCATCTCACAAAAGGTAAGTGAAGGACTTGGGGCACTTAATACCCCTACCCCATGTCATTACTACCCCTACAGTGTTAATACCCTACCCCATGTCATTAATACCCCTACAGTGTTAATACCAGTACCCCAGCACACACAGTGTTAATACCCCTACCCCATGTTATTAATACCCCTACCCCAGCACACACAGTGTTAATACCCCTACCCCATGTTATTAATACCCCTACCCCAGCACACACAGTGTTAATACACATAGTGTGCTGGGGTAGGGGTATTAACACTGTAGGGGTATTAATGACATGGGATAGGGGTATTAACACCGTAGGAGTATTAATGACATGGGGTAGGGGTATTTAGGGGTATTAATGACATGGGGTAAGGGTATTAATGACATGGGGTAGGGGAATTTAGGGGTAGGGATATTAACACTGTAGGGGTATTTAGGGGTAGGAGTATTAATGACATGGGATAGGGATATTTAGGGGTATTAATGACATGGGGTAGGGCTATTTAGGGGTAGGGGTATTAATGACATGGGGTAGGGCTATGGCTATTTAGGGGTATGGCTATTTAGGGGTAGGGCTATGGCTATTTAGGGGTAAGGCTATTTAGGGCAGTGGCGGACTAAGGAGGGCCCCGGGTGCCACTTTGTAGAGGGGTGCCTTGACCCTGGTCTTGGGGCTGGAGGGGGCTGTGTGAGCTTTACCCCATGGCAGCTGGGGTGTCACACAGCTTACACGGAGACCAGCAAGATAAACTGGCCGCACAGAGGAAGGGGGCGGAGCTACGGATATGTAGGGGCGAAGCCTAACCGCGAGCAGGGGCTGCTGTTACTGCTGCACATGGAGGTGCAGCAAGAGGAAATCCCTGCACCTCCACCTACCAGGCTCCAGGGAAGGACTTCGATGAATCCACTCCTCCAGCCCACACTATAAATAAGTATGAGTGTGTGACTGCCTGAAACTGTGTGTGTGTGTAACTGTCTGCCTGAAACAGTGTGTGTGTGTAGCTGCCTGAAACTGTGTGTGTGTGTAACTGTCTGCCTGAAACTGTGTGTGTGTGTGTGTGTGTGTAACTGTCTGCCTGAAACTGTGTGCGTGTGTAACTGTCTGCCTGAAACTGTGTGTGTGTGTAACTGCCTGAAACTGTGTGGGTGACTGCCTGTAACTGTGTGTGTTTGTGGCTGTAACTATGTGTATGACTGTCTGCCTGTGACCGTGTGTGTAACTGCCTGTAACAGTGTGTGTAACTGCTTGTAACTGACTGTGTGTGTAACTCTCTACCTGTAACTGTGTGTATGACTGCCTGTGACTATATGTGTGACTGTCTGTCTGTAACTGTGTGTGAGGGGGTGCAGAGATTTTGTAGAGGGGGGCAGGGGTTTTACAAAGTTTACAAATTTGTTCAATAAATGTTTTAAAAAATGTAAAAAATATAACACATTTTAAAAATGTATTCGTTTTTTTTTTTGGAGAAGCGGGGGGTGCCAAACCCAGGACCCGCCCCGGGTGCCACATGCCCTAGGTACGCCCCTGATTTAGGGGTAGGGCTATTAATGACATGGGGTAGGGCTATTTAGGGGTAGGGCTATTAATGACATGGGGTAGGGCTATTTAGGGGTAGGGGTATTAATGACATGGGGTAGGGCTATGGCTATTTAGGGGTATGGCTATTTAGGGGTAGGGCTATGGCTATTTAGGGGTAGGGCTATTTAGGGCAGTGGAAAAAGAGAAAGAAAACAGCGCTAAATTGCCACAATAAAATTATAAGAAAGGCAGCAATCCTCAAAGGGGAGTCCCCAATAATCCCCTAATGATAACAGATAGCAAGAACAAACATAGATATAAGGATGCGCCTAAAACTTGATAAAATAAAAGACTAAATTAGTCAGATAAAATACAGAATAAAATAAGTAATAAAACAATAGTCCAATAAAATAGGCTTATCACAGTCCGTGAGGGTAGGTCCCACTTGTAAAGGAATATTCTTTAGGGTGTAGGTGGGATCATATCTTCAAATGTTGAGAATTCAGCATATGTGGAGAGAAAAATAAAAACAGGACTCCAATGGCACAGTAAATCGGTGTATAAAATAAATATAAAGGTATAAAATCAGTCTTACTCACACTTTTCAGAGCTAGGATCAGCTCTGATATTGCTCGCGTAAAGTGGAATAATCCCCACTTCAAGGATATATGGAGTAAATGCAGGGGCGGACTGAGAACCCTCAGGGCCCCCGGGCAAAATAAATCAAGGGCCCCCTTACAGGCCCCACCCATACTCTGCAGCAAGCGCCACCCTTGTCCCGCCTCCATGCACCGCCTCCAGCCACACCCTACACAATCTTTAGACACAAGGAACAAAAGGGCAATAAGCCCTTCGAGGCCCCAGTAGAGACTACAATTGAGGGCTAATGGGCCATGGAGGGGGGTCTTTCTAGCGGAGGCTATCTCAGTGTCCTTTAGAGAGTGTGTTAGAAAGAATCCCCTCCAAGCCCCATTAGAGACTACAATGGAGTCTAAAAGGCTTGGAAGGGGGTCTTTCTAACAGAGGCCATCTCAGCGTCCATTAGATATCCCCTGCTGGAAACAGTCGCCTCCAGGCCCCAGTAGAAACTACAATTGAGGGCTAATGGGCCATGGAGGGGATTTCTAGCAGAGGCTAGAGTCTAATGGGGCCTGGAGGGTGGTCTCTCCAACACTCTGGTTCCTATTCACAATATAGCAACACAACATAGCTCGCTGATACCTAAGCCAAGTTGGCTCCTCTTACCTTAATTACTGTTGCTGGCTGGCAGTCTGTGGGCTTGCTGGCTGCGGCTGGCAGGCTGTGGGCTTGCTGGCTACTGCCGGCAGGCTGTGGGCTTGCTGACTGCGGCTGGCAGGCTGCGGCTGGCAGGCTGTGGCTTGCTGGCTGTGAGCCTGTGGCTTGCTGTAGGCCTGTGGGCTGGCTACTGGCCTGTGGGCTGGCTAACTGGCTGGCTACTGGCCAGCCTGTGGGTTGGCTGGCTGGCTACTGGGGCACTTGTAGATTATTTAAAGAAATAATCCATGCACAATAACCACTACTGCTCCAGAGTAAGTAGTCAAACCGTTTAAGAACAGTTTGACAACTTACCTGGGGTCTGCTGGGATATGAGGCTGTAGTAGGGAATAGAAGCAGTGGTGCAATGTGTGTGAAAGGTTCAGTGTGTGTGTGGGGGTGTAGTGTGTGAATGTGTAGGGTGTGTGGGCAGTGTATGTGTGTGGCAATGTTAGTATGGGGGCTGTGTATGGGGGTCTGTGTGTATATGGGTGGGCAGTGTATGTGTGTGTGTGAGGCAATGTGTGTAAATGTGTATGGTGTGTATGGGGGCAGTGTGTGAATGTGTATGGTGTGTGTGTGGGGGCAGTGTGTTTATGGGGCTAGAGTTCACTCTCACCACTGCGACCACCAGGAATCCATGGGGGTTACAGTGTTGAGAGTGAACTCTAGCCCGTAGCTCCAGGGCTAGAGTTGACTCTCGCAAGAGCAGTAACGTTGCCATGGTAACCGCGGCAACGCTCTGTGCTCGCGCAAGAAGGACCCAGAGGAGCTGCAGGGTGAGCTCCCAGGTCCTCTCTTCCTCCCCTGCCCGCACGGTGCCTGCGGACAGGGGAGGGGGGGCATTCTTCCCTCTCTTTCTCCCCAACTCTCTATTCCTCCTCTTTCTCCCCGTGTCTCATTCTTCCCTCTCTGTCTCTTTCTCCCCCTCCCTCTATTCCCCCTCTTTCTACCCGTGTCTCATTCTTCCCTCTCTGTCTCCCCCCTCCCCATCTCTCTATTCCCCCTGTGTCTCATTCTTCCCTCTCTGTCTCTTTCTCCCCCTCCCCATCTCTCTATTCCCCCTCTTTCTCCCCGTGTCTCATTCTTCCCTCTCTGTCTCCCCCTGTGTCTCATTCTTCCCTCTCTTTCTCCCCATCTCTTTATTGCCCCCCCTTTCTCCCCCTTCCCCATCTCTATGTCCCCCCCTCCCCATCTCTCTGTCCCCCCCTCTTTCTCCCCCCCTCCCCATCTCTCTGTCCC